TTTCTTTCCACATGTCTGAACCAACGGAGCATGTTTCTGTTAGTTATGAGTTGTGATTTATTTCTTAGTGATCCTCCATTTCCTTTTTGGAGTCCTTGGTTTTTTGGGTGACAAAAATTACCCTGATACAATCACTTTGTTGTCTATATCTGTTAAGACCCTTAATTCCGGGAATATTCGGTTAAAACCATATACGCAGGTCTACAGTCTCTTGAAGATGTGAAAAGATAAAAACTCCCAATTAACGTAAAAAAAAACACGGCTGTTTATGACGAAAAAACATATAGGTACATACGATGTCTTAGCGATGCTATAGAGCTATTCCATTTCATTACTACTTTGAAATGTACTTTAAGAAGGACCACCGAACGATAAAGATTATTGGATATGGATTTGACAGCAGTGTTTTCAATTCAGTCATTTATACCAAATGAATCTGAATATGGTCATAATATCGCAAAAATGTCGAATCCTATGGCTAGAGAGTTAGGTGTACGCATCCCTATATTTTCGAAGACACTAGAAGCAAACAAAGTAAGAAACTTTACCTCTATACAATTAAAGAGATAAAGTTTAAGTAATAGGTACCAATCTGCCTTTCCTCTCTGGTCATAGTACTGTAACAAAATAATTAAACATCATTAACAACATTCGTTGGCATATGGAGAATAGATAGATAGATAAAAAAGTTTATTGCTGATCGCAACACACAATTACATCAATTACTAAACATTTACTTCTTTGTACTAAAAATACCTAATGAAGATGAAGCATCGATTTTCGGCCATCACCCTGAATGAGATGACCGGGGACAAAATATATTTTTTTAAGTCAAACGAATGAATAGTATCAGGAAGATATAATGTCAAAAATAATACACATAGAGAGAAAAATATCGGGAGATTAAAAGAATAAATAAAAAGGCATGTCAACTATAATTCATAATAAATTATAATATTGTGTTAGAAGTCAAATATATATATATTGATAAGAATAATGTTAAGATTGTAATATTAAGTGTCAAAAAGGTAGCACGGGAAATTTAATTACATATATCCGTTAAGCATGAGCGTCTTTTGTAGATTTAGTAAATGGGTAATACGTTTAAATGTGTGAATTTTAGAAGAACTCCTCAAAGGAGGCAGTAAAGCTCTTACAGTTCTAATTCTTCTAGACTTCAGCAATTCTGTTAATTCTGTCGATATCAAATCCTTCTGGCTATTCTTCGTCCTTGCAATGTCACTGCTTCTGTTCTTCGGGGACACACGCAACGTGTTCGTCTTGATGATAAATCTTCTGATCGGTGTCTGTGTCTCTCGTATCGCGGTGATGGTGTTCCTCAGGGCAGTGTTCTTTCACCTCTCTTATTTTCCATTTTTATTAACTCCATTACTAGAGTTACATAGTCCGACTTCCATTTGCGGGTTTATCTATACTTTAGAATAGAGACAGTAACTCAGCGCTGGCAGCTATTAAAAACGATTTGGATCGCATTAGTACTTGGATGAAATCGTTTGTTTTTTTTTCTCTTTCCCAGTATTTGTATTTGTTTAGATATTCCATATTAATTCTTTTTAGGAGGTACACATTGACTACCTTACTTGCTTTTTTCTCCTGTTATGCGCCTGCTGGTAGAAATTTCAATTTGAAATAAGCAGTGCCCTTGTACTATTGTCCGTTACATTCTTCTTCTTCTTCTTCTTCTTTCGTGTCAATGGCAACCAAAACTAAATGTCTACGGCCCAGAACTCCGCCACTTTTACGGCGCTATCAGCAGCCGTCATGAGATCCTCCTGCGTACAGGTGTAGGGGCAAGCGGGGCAACATATCAGGTGTGGAGTGGTCTGAGGCGTAGTACCACACCTGCACGCAAGGTCTGCAGTATTAGTAAAACCCCACCTGGACCGATTGTCTTTACTCCGGCCAACCTGAGTGCGGAGTCTATTTAAAGATTTCCACACCGGTCTGGGGAGGTCGTAGCCAGGCGGGAGTTTCTCCTGGATTGGCACAAACGGGGAAGGCAAAAGGGCGGAACCCAACCACAGTTCACGCCTAGCCAAAGAGGCCTCGGAGTTGATAGGCTCGGTGCACTTGAAGAAACTATTGCGACTCTTCAGCCTTTTAGGGACGGACGAATAGCGATGCATAGGGTGCCGCGGGTCGGAATCAAGCTTGGCCCTTTCGATGGAGCTTGCTATGGCCCTGCGAACATATGGTGGAGCAATTCCAGCCAGCGGGTACAGCATTTGCACGGGAGTCGGCTTAAGACAACCTGTTATAATGCGGCATGTGTCGTTTAGTGCTGCATCCACCCGTCTTGCGTGGGCAGATCGGTTCCAAACAGGACAGGCGTACTCTCCTGCGGAGAAACTGAGTGCTAGTCCAGTCGTCCGCAAAACCCCAGGCGACGCACCCCAGTGCGTTGTCGTCAGTTTTTTCAGGAGATTGTTTCGAGCAAATACCTTCTGTTTCACATTTTGACAATTCTTCCTGAAAGTTAGCGACCTATCGAGTGTGACTCCGAGATATTGGGGGTGGTCATCGTGAGCTATACGGATCCCGCGCCACACAATATCCATCTCACGTCCCGCCTGTCGATTACGTAGATGAAAGAGACATGACTTAGTCTTGGCTGGGTTTGGCTTCAAAGCATTCGCTTCATAATAAAGGTCAAGGACTCCAAGTGCCTCAGCCAGATTTGCCTCAACTTCCTCAAATGATGTTGCTTGTGAGGTGAGGGCCAGGTCATCAGCATACAGAAAGCGAGACGCGCCAGGGTACAGAGGCTGGTCGTTAGTATAAATGTTGAAAAGCATAGGAGCCAGCACACTGCCCTGAGGCAGCCCATTCTTTTGGCAACGCCATCGGCTTATATCTGACCCCAGGTGGACCCGGAAGCGCCGGTTATTTAAAAATTCTCCGAGAACATTAACAAAATTCAGATCTTTGGTAACATGGCCCACCTTCCACAAGAGCCTCTTCAGGTTCACTGTATCATAAGCCGCTGAGAGGTCGACAAAGACGGCGCCCGTAATGCATCCAGTCTCAAAGCCGTCTTCAATATGTTGAGTCAAGTTGAGGACCTGACTACAGCAAGATTTTCCGGGTCTGAATCCTGCCTGTTCTGGAATCAGATTAGGGTCAACCAGAGGAGTTAGCCTGGTCAACAATAACCTCTCAAACAGCTTGTAAGTATGGCAGAGAAGCGAAATCGGACGATAACTTTTGGGGTCATCTAGACGCTGGCCTGGCTTTGGTATCGCCACGACTTTAGATCTCCGCCATAAGCGTGGAAACTTTGCTGTGCTGAGACAGGAGTTGAACATTGCAAGTAACCATGAGACGGCAATGGGTCCAAGGTGCTTAAGCTGTTCCACGGAGATATTGTCAGCTCCGGGGGCTTTGCCGGGTTTCAAGTCTTTGAAAGCAGTGCTGACATCACTCAGAGTAAAAGGAGAACATAAAGAGCCGGAGACAGAAACTGGGTGTGATTCCTTTAGGGGGTTTCTGAGACGACACGAGGGTTTCCCGTTTAGGACTAATGCATGGGCAACTTGATCAGCAGTAACTTGATTTGGTGGGGCAACAGGAGGAGATTCACTGGTGAGTTTCCGAATTGTGGACCAAGCTTTTTTACTGTTATGAGTCATGTTGATATTAGTAACAGTATCAATCCACCTGTTGCGCCGACTTTCATCAATCTCGTAAAGAAGCTTTTCTCCCATGGCAAGAGTTTCCTCAGAGAACGGGTCGCTGCTGTATAGATCCTCATACTGACCCAGAATTTTTGCAGATTCACGTGATAGCCCTGGGATATAAGACGTGCGGCACCCTCTGGGAATGAATTTGCGCGACGTTCTTAAGAGTACTTCGGCGAAGAGATCATAATTATGTGGGAGAGGTGGTATATCCAAAAGCGCATCGTCAATAACTTTAGAATAGGGTACCCAATTCGCTCTACTGTAGTTAAATCGGCGCTGGAAAGGCACCTTAATCGGGCGAACTACAGAGTTAACGGTGCACATAATTGGTCTATGCTGGGTGTGAGGAATTGGTGAACAGACAGATTTTGAACAGTAAGATATAATGTTACTACTAACGAAGACCAAATCTGGGTTAAACCCATGTTTCCAGCGTCTACTGTTAAACGATGCAGGATCTTTTGGGTTATGGATCAACATTAGGTTGTTTGTCTCTGCCCATGCTTCCACAGCGTGACCGTTCGCGTCAGTATCCCTATAACCCCAATTCGAACTGTGACTATTAAAGTCACCAATGATCAAGTTCGCGGCTTGAATGCTAAGATCGGTAGGAGCATCGAAGTGAAATGGAACGCCAGGGGGTTTGTAAACAGATGAAATAGTGCAGGCACTAGTGACTACAGAGATAATTTCCACGGAGTTAGTGGAAGAAAAATGTACGGAATTTATGCTTACGCCAGGAGCAGCAAACACTGCGTTACCGTGTTTTGGATCGGGGATCTCGGCGATAAGCGTCAGCCCATGGATGTAGGGCCGGCTTTGGTTCCCATCACGGTGGGTCTCTTGCACACAAAGTATATCACATTGTGTGGACTGGCATAATTTAGAAAGAATTTCCGCCTTATCCTGTGAGAACCCTTCAATATTTATTGAAATGACACACAAAGCCGGCTCCGAGAGGGGGCTGTCCGGGTAGATGACTTTTCGGCTTGCCATTGTAGTGTAGTAATTAGTTTCACGGCATCTGCCGTTACTCACGAGGAGGGCCCGAGCATAGGTGGCGCTCTACGGGAAGGCTTACTACGTAAATAAACAAATACAGATTCCAAAAAAAATTATATAATTCAATTATAAAAATCAATATTATTCTCTATTGTGATATAAACCAATGTATTATTCTGTTAGCCGATTTTTGTTTCTTTAACTTTCTCCATACTAAACATTCAGTACTTATAAACATCACAGATATCTCAATAAACATGGTGTTGTCCACAGATAAAGCAAGAATGAGGTAGCATCATGGCTCTAAAGTTGAAGTATAAGGATGAACACGGGGTCTTGCACATCAACATGAGTCCATCCAGCAGTCCCACCGACTCGCAAGACAAGCAGGACATTGCAGATCCCAAGTTTGACACTATCAATAACAGGTAATAACAATGGACTAACATTAGTTATTTTAATAATAAATGAGAATAATAAAAATTACAAATGCTTAAATTTGTAAACGCAAAATTGATAAAATATCTATACAATAATAAAACGGTAAAATTAGTGTGTTTGTACACTTAATAAATTTCCTTAAAATTATTTCAGGGTGATACTAAAACACCAACAGTCTGTTTGTCTGTTTTTATGTACACGCTAATAACTGAGTTTACTGAACGGCTTTTAAAATTATTATTTTTTATTTTAAAGCTATTAATCCTGGGCTCCCAGCTTATGGAAGCCTAAAGGACTGATGAAACTGTAATAGATACAGAAATTGTGCCATAGTAAAAAATGTTCCGCCTGACAAGCATATCTTACTGCATGATTAAAATTTGAAGATTTGAAAGATCTGACGTGGAACTATAAGAGTTCACTGTACTAAAAATATTTTCCAAATTAGTGTCATAAAATTGTATTGTTTTGTTTCATATGTATAAGTTAAAATGGTTCATATTTCCAACCTGTATTTTCACTTGTACGACACAACCCGATTCTTACTTCATTCAAGTATGAACTGTCAATAACTAATTTATTTTAAATTTTCAGAGTTCTTAGCTCATTCTTATATATTTGGTAAAAATATTTGCTTAAATTATGGCATTTTCTCAGATAAATTTTTGTATCGACTATAGATACGAGTGTGAGAGGTCATAACTACAATATGCAAGAGCTTTCTAAAACTTGATTTTTCAGTATGTGGAAACAGGGTACATATCAGTCATCATCAGGGAATACATTGGGTTCATATTTTTTAATTCAAGAGTAAAGCTCATTGCATGAGAGCAATGAAGTTGTCTTGTGTTTATTTTTTATTTATTTTTTTATCAATATAGCGTTTACATATTTAAGCATTTTTTAAGTATTTTTTATAGTTATTATTTTACAGGCGATAACACCGCAATGTTTTTTTTTAATGTTATCGTTGCCTTTTTTTTCTACTAGTATTTGTCGCTACTTCGCCCGCGATAATTATATCCTACGTCACCCGCGTATAACGCAGCTTCTCGTAAAGGAAAAAAAATCATGATTGAGCCAGTGTTTTTGACGATTACCCCCTACTAACAAATAAAAGAGTCTTCCTCTTTTGTATAGTTAGCATAGGTTAGACTGTCTAATTAATATTAAATAATCAATTGTCATCCACAGATTCGACCGCCAATACGACTTATTCGGCGGAAAATACGAAGTGGAGGAACAACAGACAGAAGGCCAATCGCTGTTCCGTAGCCGCTACAACAGCGTCGAAGAGGAACTAGCTAACACACCTTACGCCTTCGCCACCGAGCGCGTGCGCTTAAACAATTTAGATGTAACAATAGAGTCGCGCGGCCTAGACGTCTCCCCGTCAAAAGATTTAGAAGACGATCGATTCTTCAATCGCAGTTACGATGATCTATTCGGACCTGAAATAGATTCAGCATTTACTGTCACGCAGTTGATACACGCGCAGGATCGATATTACGATCTGTCGTCGAGACAGGGCAGTGTGGACTCGCCTAGAGTGAACAGTTTGAGTTTAGAAGTGAGTGCTAGGAAGCCAGAGTCGAAAGATGGCGCTTTCAAAGTATTGTCAAAGGATACAGAAGTCAAAGCTCCTGTAAAAGCTGCGCAGGAGACGCCGCCGACTACGTAAGTATTGAGTGTTCTGTATTAATATTACACCGATAGGGTAAACTACACAAAATAGGTACAAAATGCAATAAAATATCAGATCAGATAAAATATCATTTATAATATATTAAATCCTACATATAAATTAATAGTTAGAGTTTTTAAACAAATTAATAACGATTTAATTACTAAATTTGAAATTCTTGAGTACATATCTACCAAAACGAAAATAAATATCAATAAAAACTAATTTAATTCTGTTACTTACCATGTTTAATCAGAGTAATAAAGTTTTTTATCAAAGTTTGTAAACAAGCAAGCTTTAAAAAATGCAATATGGTATCTCATCGCTGGAAATTAGAAAAAAAAACACAAGCAAAAGACGCCACAACATTTTACAGTATAAAATAATAAAAAAACCGAGATATTGTATAAAAAATAATGACCGAAATATTTTTCATCATTAGAAAACATAAATAAATTTACTTTCAGATATGACAATTCATAAGATTTTATACTCTATTCAAATGCGCCAATGTGAACAAAACATGGTTTATTTATTACTCGAAAACTTTGGTTTAAGTTCGGTCTCTTATATTTTTTTGGTGACCCAACCTACGTAAGAAAAGTATTGTTTACTATTTCTTCATTGTTTATTATTGTCAGTCAGTCTCTACATTATTCTATATTACATGAAACTTTCTCAGAAACAGCGGTTTTACTAGTTTTGTCCTTAATATATATTATATATCATTAATAAAATAAGTTTCATAAAAAAAGATAACTGCAGGTTCAAATAGCGTGATCTCGTACTAATATTATTGCAATTGCTTGTTTATACTCGCCTAGCTAAGTTTGTAACATTGTAATAGCTAAATTTCGTTATTTCTTTGTGTTCTATTATACTTTCGAGTTTGGCGTCGAGGAAATAATTTCGTAACGGTCCACAGCCAAGCATAACTATGAATATGTAACTAGATAGAAAGAAAAAATATGTAATTTCAAACAAAAAGTAATTAAATCTAACGCTGCATATTTTAATCTTAAAAATTCTCTGTGGCCGGAGTAGGACGCCGCCGAAGACGCAAATTTCGGTATTAAAGAAATTTTGAAGAACGTTTTAACGCATGCTAATCAGTTTTATGATAATGTTTTAAACCTCAAATAGGCGATAGTTTTATCACTTATTTGTTCTAAGAACATAGCACAGATTTTCTTTAATACGAGTATTAAAGAATTAAATAGCTTTTAAAAACCATTGAAGTACAATCAGTCCAGTTACTACGGTTACTATATCATTAGAGATCTTATTATCACTGTATTACTCAGATATATAAAATAATGTTACTTGGGTGGTTCCCATTTGTTGTCGAGGACCAGAGTTACTTTCCCGGTTGATTCAATGTAGAAAATTAACGAGTCTACCTCAATAGCTCTTGTCTGGGTTCGTTCTTTCAGATTACCATATCACAAGTACTTTAGCTAGCAATGTATATGATTTATCAAATATATATCTAAAAAAAAAATGATTATATTATTTTTTACAAAAATATTTTTATTTTTAATTATTTAAAATAATGAACTTTTTTGATCATTAAATTGTGGAACAAAACAAATTATTTTGAAAATCAGTCGACAATTGACGGAAATGTCGCTGATGATACATAAAAAACACATCGCCGTCGAACATTTAATTCCTTCTTTTCGATTTTGAAATCGATTAAATATAAAACTTATGAGCCGATTTCGATTATTATATCAAAAAAGAATACGTTAAAATCTGTTCATAAACCACGAAGTTAAAGCTGGACATGCTTCTCTCTTCGTAGTTTCTTCTTCATATATTCCTATAGAAGCATTGAGAAACTCATTCTTCTTGTTGCTAAGTCTATAAAAATATTGAAGATTCTCTCGCGCAAAAATACTCAACTCTATTTCAATCCTATAAAACCTTATTTTCTATTATATGGATAACCAAAATTATAGAACTATACTTACTATATTATGATATAGGGTGTATAAAAAAATATTGGCACCAAAATATTATATAAATTAAAATAAAACAAAAAACCCGCCTGCGTGAAAAACAACTGACTTAAAAGGCTGGAACAAGATAATAAATTTATGCAACGTGATACATAACATGCAGGCGTAGGCATGCTGAAAGAGAGAATGACTTAACTTATTATTTTCATAATGTACCTTTTTGTACCCTGTATTGAGCCCGTTAATTTGATATCCATATTGTAGTAATTGAAACAAAAAAAAAATCATTCAATATAATGGCGTCGCACAGCCGCTATATTTGATTTTTTTTTTGACGTTACCTATCCAAGAACATTAGGCTAGTAGGCAAATCTAACGATACCGCTATTATCTAAAACCGTTCAGCGGTTCTGCACATATGAGGTAATATGTATATAACATACAAACAAGATACGCACAAAAAACATTTTTTCTTGCACTCGGGTAAAAAGAATTACTTTTAAAATGAATACTTTCAGTAGCAATTCTGCGTTATATCTGTGCCATTATGAAGATTTTTTCTATTCGTAACTGTTTGTTTTTATTTTCTAAGACAAAATAATACCGATAATATACTTAAAATTGACGCGATTTATTTAAGAGTGTGGGCAATATGCATATGCCTAGCCATAAGATAAAGCACTAGATATAATTTTCTTTTTAATATTTTTGAAGTGCCTTGAGAAACTGAATGTGAATTGTAAGTTTTTTATAAGTTGATAAGTCGCAACCTCGAATACAGATAAAAAATATATACCTTACGGTGACCTCATTCACTGCATTACGTGAGACAATATTCTTATTTTCCTCCTGAAAAACAAGTGTTGTATAATTTATAAAAGGTTGTTTTTATATGATGAAATGTTGTAAGTTTAACAACAAGATCGGTCACGAATCATATTACCTACTGTTGAATAATTTTCTATAAAACTAAGTAAAGAGTGACAATGTTTTCTAAGTTATCCCATTTAAGTGAAATAGTGTAAGTTACTTTTTATAGAGTTATCGCATATCATAAACTACATCGAGTTACTGTATATAATAAACAAGAATAAAATCATTAGCGAGAATAGAACTAAAGTTTACCGTGTCATTACTAAAGTATAACGTCAGCGTGAATTTACACTACTACTACCTTCTAGGAAGAAATATTACTATCATAATATTCTCGTATTAGCTTACAATTTGCTTAATCTCTATTTAACAATATTAACTTTGACTAAGCGTCGAGGGGACTTCAAATTAAACCTAGAGCTCACATAAAAGTATATGCGTTAAGACACAGGTTTTTAGAACGTAATTCGTAACAATCTCAACACTTATTCTGTTCAAAATGTGACGTTTCATCGCACGGTTTAAGTTTAAAATATAAAGTCTGCCTCACATAAGAAGTCCCACGGCATAACTCTTATTCCTCTGTAATAAAAGCGAAAACATTGTGATCCCAAAGACTTCTCTCTTGAGGCGAACTCTTATGAGTTCTTAACCTGATTATTATGAAGTACGAAAATACTAGATATTCTACGCACTTCAATTAATTTACATGAAACCTCAATGATATAATTACCTAAATCACAATCATGACTAAATCCGTCTAAAATATATTGCTAGTATTTTAGTTAATCACTTTCAAATAAACGGACGCGATTAAACTCTTTAGTTAAAAACCGTATGACTGAAATTTATTTGTAGCGATTGCTATCTCGATTATTATATTTTGTATTGCCATATGTCGACTGTTTTATAGCTTCGAATTAAAAATGTGGTTTTTCCTTAACAAGCTTAGTTCGTTGACTTCATCCTACGTGAACGAACACTATTTGGATACAAAACTATTATGGTATAATAAATAAAAAAATATAAACCTATAAGGCAAGTCTTATAAATTGAACGTAATTAAGAATTGTGTAATTACCGACAAATTTAAAAAAACTGTTTTGAAAAATTGTATAGATATTATCACCAAACTTACTTGAAATAGTTTTATTGAAAACTTCAATACAATATTTCAACATAGTTTCATACATTTGCATAATACGTTAAGACATAGTATAATATGGCATACTTTTGTTTGCCATAATTATATTGTATTTAAGCATAACACCATTTATGCGAAACAGCTCAAGCATAATTTCTCGAAACATAATAATGTATGTGAGCATAACATCACAATGGATAAATTTTAAACTTACTTTAACATACAAAAATGATGACGCAAAATATTATTATATCAAAAACAATTATGCGAACGGTCATGCAAAAGTATAATTGGTATAAGCCTATTATGTAATTAAGTATTATGAAATGTAATAAAATATTATCAATTTTCTGAAAAAAAAAATATTTCATTCTTTTAAAGATATTGATATTTTTTTTTATATAATAGGTAACACTAAAATAATCAACATAGTGAAAATCTTAGAAAAGGTGATATTGTTTATTTGCTCGACATATTTTTTTTTTTCATTAATCTATACTCTTATTATAAAGAAGAAAGATTGGATTGCTTGTTTTTTGCATTAGATAGACTCCGAAACTATTGGACCGATTTACAACAGTCTTTCATATACGAGAAACTACACAATACACTATAATTAACGAAATCACGGGAAAACAGCTACTTTGATAGAAATTCAAGAAGAAATCGATGTACATAAAAATATACATACTCTTTGAAATCCTCTTTTCAGATTTGAATGAATTCAAAATAGACCATCTTTTGTTTTTTTTTAGATAAAATAAACATATCATCTAAATATTTAGATGATATCTGGTGAAAACCGTATTTTGTTTTGTTGTAAAAGGAAATTACTGAATCGGTTTTGAAAAAAAGAATTCATAGAAAAACATACATCGCCGTTGCACATATAACCTCTTCGTTTTGGTATTTGAAATCGATCAAAAAAGAGATCATCATAACTCGGTTTATGAGTTTTAAAGTTTTATGGAAAATTCTATACCTTACTGTATTTATACATCAGTAGTTATAAACGAAAC